GGTCCTGACAGTGTACTTGGTAATTATATCAACTGTGGTCCTGACGGTATGCTTGGTAATTATATCAACAGTGGTCCTGACAGTATACTTGGTAATTATATCAACTGTGGTCCTGACAGTATACTTGGTCATTATATTGACTGTGGTCCTATTAAAATGTTGACCCTAAAGATTAACTGAATTTCATATTTTGACTTCCAATATTTTAATTTTAATTTCAATATTCCAATGCAGAATGTCTCTGACTCATAATATGTTAATCCTATTGAAAACACTGGTTTACTTTTTTGTTTATCAAGGGACATAACCTGGTTTGTCACTATAATAATTGCTCTTCTTTCCACCAGGGGGAGCTATACCTGCCGAGCTGGGTGAGATGGATGGGCGAGATGCTGCAGCTGCCACCATAGGACTTGTTAATGGTACGAAAAACAAAGTTACAAAAATCATGTGGAAATCTAAAAATAAGTATTCATACAGATAGTGTTTTTGCTAACCGTCTTCGTCCGTCTTCGTCCGTCCTCATGTGTCGTCTGTTGACATTTTACATTTTCAACTTAAGCTGAAATACTGTCAAAGGGATTTCATTTATTTTTCCTGGAAATGTTACTGACATCTCCCTGACTAAGGTTTGTTATTTTTTGGGTCGCTCCTAAATCCAATATGGCCGCCAATGCCGCCATTTAAAAAAAAACTATTTTAAACTTAAAGTCAAAATCTAATTGGACGATTTAACTGAAACCTTGTAGGAATGAATGACTCATAGTCCTGACAAAGTGTTGTTATTTTTTGGATCTATCAGAAATCTAATATGCCCAGCCAATGCCGCCATTTTGAAAAACTATTTACTAGGTCAAGGTCACCGTTACTATTTATAGAAAATTGTCAAACAGTGAGATACATTTTCTGTTGCAAAGGGCTTTCATGTGTTTCACACTTCTCTAGTTTTACTCAAACTTGGTAGTGATAATTGACTGATGGACCTCGCACTGGTGAAATACATGTATTTGTATGGCAAATAATGTACTATTACATTATTCTCCTTTGACATCATTATTTCAACAACAACAGCAACAAAATACTGTAGGACTCAGGTGACCGTTAAGGCCCATGGGCCTCTTGTTGTCAGAAACTTAGCATTGATTATATACCATGAGAAGAAACAAGCATATCTTAGCCATAAAGACAACCTTTTAACTGTAAATAAGTCTTAACTCATTCACCACTTTTTTTTAATTACAATCATTAATCACTCTTAAGGGAGAAACAATCACTTACTGGTACATGTATCTTGCAGGTTTTGGAAGTGTTGGAACGTTTATGGAAGGACCAATTATCGGTGTGATTTCCACGTGGTACGGCTGGTCAGGGATGTTCTACTTCATGATAGCGCTATCCTTTCTAGGGACGTTTTCTGTGTACCGTGCTGCAGGAAAACATAATAAGTCTAGGATGAGGACAATACCTGAGGCAGAGCCACTAAAACTTGACACAGACAACTCTGTATAGGCAAACTGACCAATAGGAACACAGTTTATTTTTCAAATGGTGTTGTCTGAACATTGGAATTCCATAGCACATGTTTTTTTTTTAAATTTATCATTCATTCTTTATATTCACAGATTTGGTTTTAGATTTATTTCTGTACTATAAACCGAGAATTTTTCGTCACTGTTTAACTTTGGCCTTTTTCACCCTACATGATGAGGGCAAATGTGGCACGAGAGCAAATATCTACATTGGCTATATCATTTTGTTGTTTCATAAAAAAAACGAGATTAAGTAAGTTTTTATTCTGGTTGTTTCGCCTTTTCGCAGCATAGAGACAAAACAGCGAAATGGCACAAATCTTACTGTGATGACATCATCATGGAAAAGATATCACCATTAAATAACCACGACAAATATTCAGGTATCTGCATTTATGTGGTTCTATTTATAGGGAATTGAATATAGAATATTGGATTATACTGGTGTATATCATTATATATGTAGATAAACAATGCTTGTCTTTCCTCAGTGTGCTGGTTTAAAATGCACACCAAAATAGAGGGGAGGGGTATTGTTGGGTAATATAACCATGCTGCCCTTCTGTCTGTACATCTGTTTACTTCGTGTTGCAACATGTTAAACATTTCTAAATAGAATCTTCAATGGGGTGTTTGTTAGTGTTGAGAATCATTTATAAAAAACATTTCGGTAGTTCTAACCGTTTGTTAATCCAACAGCCCATCTTTTTAGCCCACCATCATCTGATGGTAGGCTATTCAAATTACCCTGCGTCCGTTGTCCTTCGTCCGCCGTCCGTCGTCCGTCGTCCGTCCGTAAACAATTCTTGTTATCGGTATTTCTCAAGAAGTACCAGAGGGATCTTTCTCAAATTTTATATGCAGGTTCCTCATGGTCCTTAGCTGTGCAGGGCAACTTTTGAGACTGATCGGATAAACAACATGGCCGACAGGCAGCCATCTTGGATTTTGATAGTGAAAGTTTGTTATCGCTATTTCTCGGGAAGTACGGGAGGGATCTTTCTCAAATTTTAAATGTAGGTTCCCCTTGATCCCTCGTTGTGTATGTTATATTTTGAGACTGATCATAAAAACAAAATGGATTAAAAGAAGAACTAAACAGATCTTTCTCATATTGCAATGATCGATTCTATTTCTTTCACATTAAGTACTGTACTAGTAAATATGTGAAATGACAAACTCACTTTGAAGGTTGGCTTTCATACACATCAGTATTAAGTTTAGATCAAAAGTTACCTCAAGGTGCATTTACTGTTAACATGACTCGATCAAACAGATTAGAGGAAAGAAGAGAAAAGATCGAACTAACAAAGAACTAATGAAGATGGGACAAAGGTGGGCGCCAAGATCCCTCTGGGATCTCTTGTTTAAACTTCTCCCACACATTTTGATAAATCGTAGAGATAGGGTATATGTGAAAAGTATCATATAAAGACATGAATATCTTAAAATGGGAATGCTGCATTAAATCACAGAAAACGATTAGAATGTTATGACAGTTATATATGAGCCTTTCCCTTCCTCCAGTACAACATTTGAACATAACCACTTGATTTTAAATATGAACGAAGGGAGGCAATTCCTATATATTTAAAGGAAAATATGAACAAGAAATAACTTTGTGCTTGAAAAGTCAAGTATCTACAACCCTATCCTAAAATTGCAGTACACAGCATTCTTATAGTCACTAGTTTCATGTTTTTCACTTTCTGACTTAAGTTTAATGTCACCATAATATGTTGCAGGCATATGATGCTTCACCATGTAGTGCTTTTGTATGGTAGTTCGATTTGTTGTTTGATTTTTCTTAGATTTTAAACAAGTTTGAATAGTGGGTGATTTTTTTTCTTCTTTTCTGAATTTAAAAAATAAGTCTTGTTAGACTCTAAAAAGTTGCATATTGTTTTTAACAAAAAATATCTGTTTCGTTTTTTGGTTCCATATTATTGAAAATTAGCCTGCCACTGAAATTGATAGTCTTATTTTATTGCTTAAAATGAAATGCCAGATATACCAAGAATAGATTAATGGTTAAGATTTACAGGTATTTAAAGGGTTATTTTGTAATCAAACCTTTCACCATCTCCAGACTCTGATTTCTCCCTAAGGGTGGGAGACCTGAGGGTTGATATTAGCCCAAGGGTGGGAGACCCAAGGGTCGATATCAGCCCAAAGTTCGGAGACCCGAGAGTTGATATTAGTCCAGGGTTGGAGACCCGAGGGTTGATAACAGCCCAAGGGTTGGAGACCTGAGGGTTGATATCAGCCCAAAGGTGGGAGACCCAAGGGTTGATATCAGCCCAAGGGTGGGAGACCCAAGGGTTGATATTAGCACAAGGGTGGGAGGCCCAAAGTTCGGAGACCCGGGGTTGATATTAGTCCAGGGTTGATAACAGCCCAAGGGTGGAGACCCGAGGTTTGATATCAGCCCAAGGGTGGGAGACCCGAGGGTTGATATTAGTCCAAGGGTGGGAGACCCGAGGGTTGATATCAGCCCAAAGTTCGGAGATCCGAGGGTTGATATCAGCCAGGGTTGGAGACCCGAGGGTTAATATCAACACAAGGGTGGGAGACCTGAGGGTTTATATCAGCCAAAGGGTGGGAGACCTGAGGGTTGTTATCAGCCCAAGGGAGGGAGACCCGAGGGTTGATATCGGCCCAAGGGTGGGAGACCCGCAGGTTGATTTCAGCCCAAGGGTGGGAGACCCGAGGGTTGATATCAGCCCAAGGATTGGGAGACCCGAGGGTTGTTATCAGCCGAAGGGAGGGAGACCCGAGGGTTGATATCAGCCAAAGGGTGGGAGACCCGAGGGTTGATATCAGCCCAGTGGTAGGACTCCTGAGGGTTGATATCAAGCCAAGGGAAAAAGACTTGAGGATTTGATAACAAACCAAGGACAGGGGACTGGAGGGTTGATATCAGCCAAAGAATGGAAGACCCGAGATTTGATATCAAGCAAAGAGCAGGGGACTTTTAGGATTTATATTAGTTGGAGGAATTATGAAGGGTGCGATAACAAGGCAGTCATATTGTATAATCTTTTTGTGATGTACATTTTGCAAAACCAAAAAATGAAGGTTTCATCAAACAATTTTCGTATTTTTAATGAACGATCACTTTTGGGGTGTTTTTTTTTTTAGGGCCCCGGGGGTATCAGTAATTTCAAATAAAACCAATTTTATATAAATGTAATATTTGTATACATAGTATTTGCTGTTCAGATTTCTTATCTCTAATTTGTTGAGTATACTACCAGTGTCTTAGTTTTGTGATCACTCACATGAATATCAAATTGTGGAGTTGTTTTTTATATCAAAATGATGTGTGTTTGACTTTTTTAATACGTAAGTATTATTTACAGTGTATATGTGCACGTGTAGCTCTATATAAATCTTAATCCATGTTTTTGTTTAATATTAGTGTATTATAGTTGATTGTATCAAAGCTCAACTAAACCAATGAAGTTTTTTTTATCAATGCGGTGTTTGACAAACACATTGTGTTTCACCTACAGTCAGATAGTAGTACGGTATTATGTTGTTTGTCTCCTGCTCCGTAAGTCTGAAACAGTGTTATTCTGCTGAATATTTTTTTCTTTTTGAATGATTGACGTTTTATTTATGATAGTTTGGTGAACATAAAGTTGGCTATATAATGTTATATATAATCCTCCCCCTAATCTTTGTTTTAAAACATATTTGACTTGAGCAAGGCTACTAACGCAAAACAATAATAATATAATAATAATAATTTGAGGTTCTTATATTAGATCGTCTCAAAGCGGTTCACAAATTATTATCCCTGGTTATAGGGCCTTTGTAATTACAAACCAGTATCTTTCTCAACTCCCTGGGGAGCATACAGTCGATGCTGCCATTTCGGCGCTCACAGCTAGCATTCAACAATTCTAGCACTGCCAAACCACGTACCCATTTACAGCTGAGTAGACTGGAACAAGCCGAGTAAAGTATCTTGCTCAAAGGTACAACACAGTGTCGTGACTCAAACCCACAACCCTTCGGTCAGGAGCCCAGCGGCCTACCACTAGACTACAACGCCTCCGAACAAGATGTACTTGTATGACTACTACTGCTAGTACTTGTATGACTACTACTGCTAGAAGTTGTATGATTACTACTGCTAGTACTTGTATGACTACTACTGCTAGTACTACATTGACTACTACTGCTAGTACTACATTGACTACTACTGCTAGTACTACATTGACTACTACTGTTAGTACTACATTGACTACTACTGTTAGTACTACATTGACTACTACTGTTAGTACTACATTGACTACTACTGTTAGTACTACATTGACTACTACTGTTAGTACTACATTGACTACTACTGTTAGTACTACATTGACTACTACTGTTAGTACTACATTGACTACTACTGTTAGTACTACATTGACTACTACTGTTAGTACTACATTGACTACTACTGTTAGTACTACATTGACTACTACTGTTAGTACTACATTGACTACTACTGTTAGTACTACATTGACTACTACTGTTAGTACTACATTGACTACTACTGTTAGTACTACATTGACTACTACTGTTAGTACTACATTGACTACTACTGTTAGTACTACATTGACTACTACTGTTAGTACTACATTGACTACTACTGTTAGTACTACATTGACTACTACTGTTAGTACTACATTGACTACTACTGTTAGTACTACATTGACTACTACTGTTAGTACTACATTGACTACTACTGTTAGTACTACATTGACTACTACTGTTAGTACTACATTGACTACTACTGTTAGTACTACATTGACTACTACTGTTAGTACTACATTGACTACTACTGTTAGTACTACATTGACTACTACTGTTAGTACTACATTGACTACTACTGTTAGTACTACATTGACTACTACTGTTAGTACTACATTGACTACTACTGTTAGTACTACATTGACTACTACTGTTAGTACTACATTGACTACTACTGTTAGTACTACATTGACTACTACTGTTAGTACTACATTGACTACTACTGTTAGTACTACATTGACTACTACTGTTAGTACTACATTGACTACTACTGTTAGTACTACAACGACTACTACTGTTAGTACTACATTGACTACTACTGTTAGTACTACATTGACTACTACTGTTAGTACTACATTGACTACTACTGCTAGTACTACATTGACTACTACTGCTAGTACTATCTTAATGTAGTACTAGTAGTAGACCTTCTCATATTTCCCTTTATAAAAGGTTAATGCAATCAATATAAGCATCTGTGGTGTGTGAGTAAATTTGAAATGATCAAAACTTGAATATGTATATTAAATGAATAAGTGAGAGAGTGAGGCCCAGAACGTCATGGCAGCAATTAAGACGTTATCACATTGTTATCCTTTGGATAATATATGGTAAATGGATAGCTTTTATGCAATGTTTATGTAGAGGCATTTGGCATTAAGGCTTGTTATCTGAATCATGTGTTTTATATAGGCAATTAACAGTTAATTATTCTATCCGTGCCATGTGTTGTAACTTGTCTATCACTTTTGTACCATGTGTTTTACTAGACTGAGGCAGTTAACGGTTAATTATAATATCAGAGTCATGTTTTCCACGTTTTACAGCTGAACGGTGTGATTTTGGTTCACCTGGTACAAAGTGACTGACCTTAAGTAATGATGCAGTGTTCATTTTCTGTCTAAAAATCCATAAGGCAATGATTGATGATGAGTTATGGCATATGACAT